TCTCTCTCTCTCTCTCTCTCTCTCTCTCTCTCTCTCTCTCTCTTGCGCGCGCGTTTTTATAATGCCTTAATTTTTTGGGAATACTATTAAATCGTTACAGTCTTAATTGTTTCGTTTGTTTAATTCAATAGAAATTATTTTTAATGTCAGATTTTTTTGGGGAAAAAGGCTGTTGGGGTTTGAGCGTGAATTTTTTGTTTCGTTCAATTTATGGGTTTGAGTATTTTGTGAATATCATGGGAAGGAAGGGGTTTAGCGGAAAATGTCACAAAATCTTTTTTGTAGATAACTTCGTGAACTGTGAAAAAGATCTTGTGAGATTTTTTGATAAAGCTAATAGTTTCGGAGATATTCACGAAATATTGTAAGATATTAAAGAACAAAAAGCCATTTTCAGGGTTTTTTCTCTCTCGTTCTTGTAATGCCTCAATTTTTTTGGGGAATACTATTTAATTGTTACTGTCTTTATTGTTTCGTTTATTTCGTTCAATAGAAATTATTTTTAATGTCAGATTTTTCTGGGGAAAAAGGCTGTTGGGGTTTGATCGTGAATTTTTTGTTTCGTTCAATTTTTGGGTTTGAGTATTTTGTGAATATCTTGGGAAGGAAGGGTTTTAGTGGAAAATGTCACAGAATCTTTTTTGTAGATAACTTCGTGAACTGTGAAAAAGATCCCGTGAGATTTTTTGATAAAGCTAATAGTTTAGGAGATATTCACGAAATATTGTAAGATATTAAAGAACAAAAAGCCATTTTGAGGGTTTTTTGTCTCTCTCGGTTTTATAATGCCTCAATTTTTTGGAATTACTATCAAGTTGGTCCTAAGTGTATTGTTTGTTCAATTGAATAGAAATTACGTTTAATGAATAATTTTTTTATTTGGTTTAGGGGAAAGGGAGAGAGGATTATTTTTATGAGTAATTTTGAGCAAAAATGTGATTTTTTTTGTGGAAAGAACCCCTTCCTCCTAAAGATATTCACGAAAATGATCTACCAATTCATAGTAACAACTTAGAAAACTCAAAATGTGCTTTTGCTAATCTGAGAATATTCCACTTCTGAACTGAGAGGAAAATATCAACTAAATCTTTTATAAATTAAAAAAAAACAGTAACGTTTGGGTTCAGACAGTAATTTTTTATGAATTTCAACAAAAAAAATATCTCTCTCGACGAAAATTACAGTAATCAAAAACCAAAGTTAATTTTTTTTATTTTTTTGTGCATCAAGTTTTTTATGAGTTCTTACTTTAAAAATTTTTTTTTTCAAATATGATATTTTTCTGCGGGAGACCTCTTCCCCTTCAAAAAATTTATGAAAACCATCTGGCAATTTGCAATAAAAAAAAACCCACAATGTTATTCCCCTAATCTGCGAATATTTCGTGAACCCCTGGACTCAGGAGAAACCGTCAATCCCCTTTTCCATAAAAAATCAAATTCTCCAGAACGTCTCTCGCCTTGGATCAAAATAACCACAACAAGCTTCACCCAACAACTCTGAAAAGAGGAGAAAAACAGTAGTTCCTGCAGCCCCC